CACAAAACCAGCTCAGCCTCGAGGTTTTGTTGCCTTCACAGTGAATAATTGAGTCTCTCTCTCTCCTTCCTCTTCTTGATGCAACTTTCTCTTCCCTGCCTAGGATGGGCTTCTCCTTCTCCCAGTGCTTCAGCAAACCACAGCAAGTCATGCTCACATCACCCTGTCCTCACCACTGAACATCTGGACCATCAGCATGGACAAAGCCAGAGCCCAAACCTCCCTGTGGCTTCTCAGCTCTCCTGGGAATGCAGAGGAGGAAAATGATGGCTAGTCATGGACTCACCAAGCTTGGAGGAGACCTCTAAGGTCATCAAGTCCAACCATTGACCTATCACTGCTGTGACCATACCCTCAAGTGCCACATCCTGAGCACCCTAACAGTGAGCACCAGGAGCTTGTCCCAACCCTAACAGTGAGTACCAGGAACTTGTCCCACCCTAACAGTGAGTACCAGGAGCTTGTCCCACCCTTACCTGACATCCTGAGCTCTCCCACCCGAAGGATGTGTGGCCAGTGCTGGAGGGTCTTGATGAAGAAAGGGTTTGTGACTCCCACAACGATGTTTGGCCTGGAGAGAGGAGGCCAAAGAGCACGTGATGGTGACTTTGGGGTGCCTCCCGGGGCAGGGTGGGAGGGCCTGTGGTACTCACGGGGCCTGGGTGCGCGTGGTGTACTCCTTGAACTCGCTGTCGTGGATGGTGAAGTAAGGTCTGTAGTCACAGCAGTAGCGCAGGGGGGACAGGCAGCTGTGGGGACAGAGCTCCTGTCACCCACCCTGCACCAGGGCAGGGCCTGGAGCAGTGCTGGTGTCCTGCCACAGGATCACTGCCACAGGATCACTGAGGTTGGGAAAGGCCTCAAGGACTGTCCAGTCCACCCTGTGCCCCATCACTACCTGTCAGCTAAAGCAGAGCACTGAGTGCCACGTCCAGTCCTTCTTGGACACGAGGAAACACCTCAGGCTGTGCCAGGGGAGGCTCAGGGTGGATATGAGGAGGAATTTCCCCATGGAAAGGGCTGTCAGGCCCTGGAATGTGCTGCCCAGGGAGGTGGTGGAGTCACCACCCCTGGAGGTGTCCAGGGAAGGACTGGTGGGTTAGCTGACAAGTGGTGATGGGGCACAGGTTGGACTGGATGACCTCAGAGCTCTTTTCCAACCTCAGTGATCCTGAGATCGTGTGATTCCTCTCAGCCCTTGGGGGGATATGAGCAAGACTTGCTATGGTGCTTGTCCCTCAAAGCTTTTATGTGCCAACTAAACCCAACCCAAGTGACCACCAGGGAGTGGATCTGAGGAAGAAAAGCCTCCAGAACATGTTGCTGCAGCTCCTGTGTGTCAGACCCTGAGGGCATTACCTGACGAGTGCCAGGACCATCTCTGAGGAGACTGTGGGCGATGGTGCCATCACCACCAGTGGCTCTCCCAGTAGCATCAGCTCCCACAGCATCTGGATGTGGATTAGCACTGGCTGGAAACACCTGAGAGGGATGGGAAGAGCAAAAGGCTGAAGTTAGAAAGGCAGCTCAGACAAGCCCACCCAGAGGTGCTTCTATCCCAGAACTTGAGATCCAGGATGGACTTTGAGCATTCCACAGCAATTCAGGTGTCTCTGCATGTGTCACTCAGCCATTCATACACGTTCAGAGGAAGCAATGCCAAGCAGCCTCTGGACCACAGAGCCATGGAATGGTTTGGATGGGAAGGGACTTTAAAGTCCATCCAGTGCCACCCCCTGCCCTGGGCAGGGACACCTCCCACCAGCCCAGGCTGCTCCAACCCCATCCAGCCTGGCCTGGAACACTCCCAGGGATGGAGCAGCCACAGCTGCTCTGGGCACCCTGTGCCAGTGCCTCAGCACCTCCCAGCCAGGAATTCCTTCCCAATATCCCATCTGTCCCTGCCCTCTGGCAGTGGGAAGCCATTCCCTGTATCCTGTCCCTCCAGGACTTGTCCCAAGTCCCTCTGCAGCTCTCCTGGAGCCTCTTGAGGCACTGGAAGGGGCTCTGAGGTCTCCCTGGAGATTCCAATGGGGAAAGAAGAATGGTTAAGAGCAGGGGACACTGAACAGCACCTGCAGTGCTGAGGAGTTTGGCTCAGACACACGAGGTGTGAGTTTGGAGCCTGAGCTGAGCCCCAGCTGAGGGGACAAGGCCACAGGGGTCGTGCCAGGGGGCACAGCACACAGGGCTAAGCACTGCCCAAGCTCTCCAAGCCCAGAATTCCAAGCGGCAAAGCAGCAGCCTTTGCTTCTGCACCATCCTGGCCCCAGGCAGGCAGAGGGGCAAGCAGAAGGTTGCAGTGGTGGCTCTCACCTGAACAGATCCAGCTCATGGACACTGGGGAGGACCAAGGGGGCTGGTAACAGATTCTAGATGAGAAACGGAAATAGGCTGTTAGTAGGTGTTAGTCAAAGTGTTGGGAAGTGGAAGCATCCTGGCTGGAATTTCATCTCTGCTGAGCATACAACCACAGAGGGACACACAGACAAAGGAACAGAGGAATGAGCAGGTCTGGCTGGAGCAGGCAAGGCCCAAACTCATTCCCTTGCCTAGAGGTTAATCAAGAATTCCTTCTTTCAAGCTGTGGAAGAATTCCCATTCTGCTCCTCTGTTCTCCAGAGCTTCCTGGGGTGGAAGACAGAGCTTGAGGCACAGAGCCAACAAGGGTTAGAGCGTGGGTGCCAAAGGAGAGAGAAAGGGGAAGAATGAGATGACAAGAACCCGAAGCAAAGCCGAAGCAAAGCTGCTCAGACAGCAAATGCTGCACAACAACTCCAGAAGACAAAGGCAGAGCCCCATGGACACCTCCCTGGGCACCAAGGCCAAGGGAACGAGCTCAGAGCTGTGCAGAGAGTCCTGTCTGACCTCCCAGGCCTGAGAGCCTGAGGTTTAACCATGGCAAACTGAGACCATGTTGATCCCAGGCCAAAGTGGCTCCAACTCCTGCTCACCCTCCTCCCTCAGGGCTCTGTGCTCACCTCTTGATTGAACTGCTTCACTGGGCTTGATCCTGGCTTGTCCACCCTGGATGGGATCCTCACCTGGACCGCAGAAAGAGCAGGGATCAGCCCTGGAATGGGATCAGCATGCACAGACACTTTGCTTCCCATCCAGCCACACATGGGAGGAACCTCCCCGGTCACCAGTTTTCACCGTGCACAGGTCAGGCCCAAATGCAACTCCCCCAGGACAAAGGGATACATAGTCCCTCCCCACCCTTCCCCAGGCAGGTGACAGTACCTGGATGACAACCCCCATCACAGGCAGGTTCAGGGTCTGTCCTGGCACGGGCAGAGGCCACTGGTCAATCTCGTTGCACACTGAGGGGCACAGGACAAGGGGAAAGGGAGAAGACAGTGCAGCTCCTCCAGCTCCTGGAGTTCTCACACCTCATTCCCAGCTCAGCTTCCCTGGGGTCACTGCCAAGCCCAGGCTCAGTGTGCATCCCAGTCCAGTGGCACCTCAGTGCCAAGGCACCAGGACTGAGCTGAACAAGGCAGCGAGGACCTGACAGAGATGCAGCAGCAGCTTTTCCCCTCCCTGGGAATGCAAACTGACCCTGTGCATCCATCCCGTTCCCAGTAATTCCACCTGTACAGCTGCTCCCAGTTCCCACAGGTGGATGACAGCTCTTCCCTGCTGGAATCTGGCCCAGAATGAGCAAGTTTGGGCCGTTCCAAGTGTGTTTCAGGGGCAGAGCTGCACAGGAGGCCCCGAGCCCTCCCTGCTCACCTGCCTCCAGGCATGGCTCCAGCTTGTCGAAGTACTCGGGGGCAATCAGCTGCAGCAGGGTCTGGAACAAGGCCACAAAGGGCAGGCGAGACACCAGCACCAGGGACTGGGGAGAGGCACAGGCAGGAGTCAAACCCCTGACAGCATCACTTCCACCACTGATCATGGCCACACTGCCCACACAGGGCCACAATCCAAAAATAATGGGCACAAACCATGTGGAAGAGCTCCAAGGCAGTGGAATTCCTGCCAAGAGACTTCAGGAGTTGGGAGATCAATGGAATGGGATCATTTCACAGTGGAAAGGGCTGTCAGGCCCTGGAATGTGCTGCCCAGGGAGGTGGTAGAGTCACCACCCCTGGAGGTGTCCAGGGAAGGACTGGATGTGTCTCTCAGTGCTCTGGGCTAGCTGACAAGGTGGGGATGGGTCACATGGTGGACTTGGTCGTTTTGGAGGCCTTGCCCAGGATTGTGGAATGCAGGACTCACCTTCTGGAAGTATCCTCTTCTCATAGAGCTGTCCTTGACCTGCCTGAAGTAGACATAGCCGAAGTAGTGAGCTGACTCGCGCTGCAGGAGACAGACACAGCCCTGAGGGACAAAACTGTGGCCCCCACAACCCCAGCCCTGACACACCTCCAGCACAGCTCAGCACAGCCCTGACACACCTCCAGCACAGCCCCGCATAACCCAGCACTCCCTCCTGTCCAAAAGGGGAGACACACAACTGGGAGCTGGAGCAGCTCTGCCCTGGAGCCAGGCTGGGAGAGCTGGGGGTGCTCACCTGGAGGAGAGAAGCCCCAGGGAGACCTCAGAGCCCCTTCCAGTGCCTCAAGAGGCTCCAGGAGAGCTGCAGAGGGACTTGGGACAAGGCCTGGAGGGACAGGACACAGGGAATGGCTTCTCACTGCCAGAGGGCAGGGACAGGTGGGAGATTGGGAAGGGATTCCTGGCTGGGAGGTGCTGAGGCACTGGCACAGGGTGCCCAGAGCAACCCTGATCCAGTTCCATCTTTGGTCCCCTGACTCAGTTCCCCCTCCCACTCTCCCTCTCTCTGACCATGGACAAGGAAGCAAATCTCTGTCCTGCAAACCTTTCCTCACCATTCCCATGGCCAAGGACAGTGACTATGCACACAGAGACACCACATCAGCAGAACATGTGGCTCTCAGCCCCAACCCTCAGTGGCCCAGGAGGAGTGAGCAGAGCCTGAGCAGCTCTGCCCTGCAGGGTGAGAGCACTGACCTGCAGGGTGAGAGGAGCCTGTCGGTTGTAGTCCCCGTGGTCCTGGAAGGGACATGTCCTCTGTCCCCCTGACTGGCGCAGGCGGAAGCTGAACTGGGTGTCCCCGAGGCCACCTGAGACAGAGAGCTCATCTCCAGGGGGCACAGGGGGCTGCAGGGAGCTCAGCAGGCAGTGAGGGGGAGCAGCAAGGGGAACCCCAAGAAGTGAGAGGAGTATTGGGAAGGAACTCCTGGCTGGGAGGTGCTGAGGCACTGGCACAGGGTGCCCAGAGCAGCTGTGGCTGCTCCATCCCTAAGAGTGTTCTAGGCCAGGTTAGATAGCCAATGGGAGATGTCTCTGCCATGGCAGGGGTGGCACTGGGTAGGATTTAAGGTCCTTCCCTTGCCCACCAGCCTGTGCTCAGCCCAGGTGCTGTCCCACTCCTTCCAGCACGGGCACATTGCTCTCAGCCCTGGTGTCACCTACCTGAGTAGGAGTCAGGGAAGGACAAGTAGCAGATACTAGTTTTCTGCAAAGAAAACAAACACCCATTGAGAGATTCCAATCAGTGCTGCTCAGGGTCTCCAAACTGGGAGAAAAAGGGGATAAACAGCTCTTACCTCTTTCTCTGTCAGCCTGAAGTCATGGGGATACACCAGCTGCAAAGGAGAGCAGAGACACTGAGCCAGCCTGTTCCCCTACAGCTCACACACATCCCTGCCTGCTTCCAGGCCTCATTTCCCCCAAACTCTCAAGGAAGGAGCCTTGATCCATCCCAGCTCTGTCCCCACTGCTCTGAGCCTCTGGCAGAACCTCTTGCTCAGGATTTGGACAGATCGAGTTGTTTCTACTTGGGATCTGGAGCTGAGAACTGATAGCTCAGGGAACCAAGAGCCCCACAGCTGCCCTGGGTGGAGTCCAGATGTGCAAACATCTGGAGCAGGAGAGGCAATGGAGTGAGAGGACAGACAGGAGGAACAGATGAAACGAAGCTTGGGAACTGAAGGTGGGAGTAGGTTCAATGAGGTGTGGAAAGAAGAGGCACTGAAGAGTGGCACAGAGAGGGTTAACAGCCAGGGCTAGGGGAAGCAGCTCTGGGAAAGGAGAGAACAGTTGGGGCATCTTGGAGGTCTTTTCCAACCTGAATGATTCTGCCCTGGGCAGGGACCCCTCCCACCAGCCCAGGCTGCTCTGCTCC